ATATATATACACACACACACATACACACACACACACACACACACACACACACACACACACACACTAAAGCGACAGTCTGTGCCACAGAGACCTTACCATCTAAATAAACAAGGCAGACAAAGGGTGGCAGAATTATTATCCCTATTTTATAGATGGGACTCTGGGACACAGAGAGGCTAAGTGACTTGCCCAAGGTTACATGGAAAGTCTACTATGGAACTGGGAACTGAACCCAGAGCTCCCAAGTCACAGGCCAGTGCCATAACCACAAGACAATCCTTTCCCAACAGCTATACAGTAATCCTATATAGGCTCTGATACAATACAAAATAGCAGTGGCTGCCTAGGTCATAAAAGCCACAGAAGGCTATGGATGCTGGCTCTGTAGCAGGAGAGCATCAGACGCTGCAAAGCAAAGTCACCAAAAGAACCTTCCTATGATGAACTGTGAAGCTGTCCAAGGAAAGACAGCATCCAGTAGTCAACTCTTGGGACAGCTGGGCCGTCTGCTTGCTGAGGCAAAGACCACGTAAGTTACAAACAACTCTACTAACTCCCTTGCATGTTTCCTGGAGGGTGGTAAGGTTGGCTCAAGCATTTGGAGGGCATATAGAGGAGCTTCTCTTACTTCTAGATACCAAGAAGAGAGCTTATGTTCACAATGGCATTGTGGGAAACCTTACCCTCCAACACCATAGTTTATCCTGGAGCCTCTCTCTTTCCTCATGATGAGAAGAGGAATGTAAACAGAGGTGTTGAGTTTTCAGTCCAATGCGACTCTTTGCTCTTCTCCCTACCTGACCTTCAGAAAAAACAGGGCAGCCAAGTGAAGTGTCCTGACTTGGCCTGTCCCATATGAAGTTCTTCCCTAGCCAGTAGAGGGAAAGCTTGCCTGCACCTTAAGCCTTGAGGGGTGAGGAGAGTCCCACGCGCAACTACATTTGCTGCGTCAAGGAACAAAAATAGCCATTGTAAAACATATTGGCACTGGTCAGATATTCACTGAGTAAGAGTTTTGGGTTTTGCCAAAAATCCCAATCACTTTTTTCTTTTTGTTAATAAATTTTAAAAGTTACCTCGCCCCAGAGAGAGACAAAAATCTTATCTGCCATCTGCAACTTTTAAGGACAATGGAGCCTGAAAGAAATCAGAAGACTCAAAAAGTCAACTTTCTTAAAAGGGATCATTTTAAAGTAATTATAACTTAATTAACAGGTTTACTTGAAAATCCTCAGAAAAAAGTCAACACTAGCTGCCAGCTTTCATATGTATTGCCCTTCCTCGAATCTTTGGAATCTCCTGGAGGGACAGTCTCACCAACACTGAGGTGCTCAAATGGACCGGCATACCCAGCATGCAAACACTCCCTCAAACAAAGACACCTCCACTGGCTTGGGCACGTGTGCCAAATGAATGATGGGCACATCCCAAAGGACATCCTCTACGGTGAATTGGCATCTGGAAAAAGACCCAAAGGGCGCCCACAATTGCATTTCAAGGATGTGTGCAAGCGAGACTCAAAAGAAACAGACTTGGATGTGGATCACTGGGAAGATCACACTCAAGACCACAGCCTTTGGAAAGAAGAGCTTAAAGGTCACCGTAGTTACGAGAGGAAGCAGTCCAGTCTAGCAGAGGAGAAAAGAGCTCACAGAAGGCAGAGCCCAAAGGGTCGAAACATCGTCTTTAAATGTGAGAGATGCAGCAGAGATTGTCTCTCGAGTGGGTCTCTTCAGCCACAGCTGCCATAAAACCAACTGAGTAAATTCGTTACCACTCAGGGGCGCATACCCATGGCCTCTCGAGACTGAAGGGTGCCTATATCTACCAACTGCTAGATTGTGCTCTGTACATTTCAGAAGAGATTGTTATTGGCTGAAGAATAAAGTAAGAGGTTGAATCCCTGTTTTAGATGAAAAATTTAACACAATCTTAACTCTGAGCTTTCAAGACTGCCTCCACGATATTCATAGCTATAAATGCAAATTATAAATGCAAAGAAGGATTAGGTCTTTCTAACAAATCCCTCTATTTCCAGGTCATTTTTTATGTGCCATTACTGATCTGTGTTTAAGCATAGCAACTGCACTTACCCAACCACCACATGAGGGTATTTCATTCTAAACCAGGCTGCAAGCATCCCTCCATAGGAACCCCCTATGGCAATCACAGGGGCATTTAGGGCTCCTGGAATTGTCTCCTTTAAGTGCTGAATTAGTATCGCAAAGTCTGCCAGAGCTTGTTCCGACGTCAAGTAATTCAGGTGTTTGGAATCCTGAAACAAGAACATATTATATAGTATGGGACAGATTTTCAAACAAACACCAATCTTTGTTTTTCCCTTTGTAATTTGTGAGCTGCTGAGGATCACACCAGAGGTGGCTACATTTGGGCAACAGTTGAATTGATCTCTGCAAGTGTAGCTTGTAATTCTAGAAATCCCTAGAGGCTTTTGAAAGCTACTGTATAGAATCAATAGTTATAGAAAATGTGACTCTCCTGCCACACACCACACATACTAGTAAACATGGAGCCAAATCCTACTCACCTTACTCATGCAAGTAGTTACTATGTAGTCAACAGGGTTACTCACACAAGTCAAGCCAGCAGGATTTACACTAGCATAAAAGAATTTTAAGGAGAAAGGAAGCAGCCAATTCTTCTCAACAGCCTTGAAACCAGTAGGTGATCAGAGTGGGAAAAGGCACTTACGCTATAAGACTTATTTCCGAAGGGCAAGGATTCTCCGTAGTATCTGTGTTCAGCAAATATTAACATGGCATTAAGCTCTTCTGCCACTTCCCACATAAAACCCTGGGAGGAAAAGGGATGTTTAAAACAATGAGCAGACACTGAATTATTATGTACTTTCATTTAAATATACCCATTAAATTCATACTCTTCAAGAGGGAAGATGCCACTGACACAGTAACTAGTCACTCAACTATTGTCTAAGGATAGTAAAAGTAAAGCGAACTAGACAGGTACAGCATGTAATGGAGGCTTAGTAAATCACTGAAAATATTCACAGGGCCAAAATTCTGCATGGGGCCAGTAGGTACACAAAAAGAGAAACATATCAGGTGAGGGAAAGTGCTATACACCAATATTGTGCCAGAGCCAGTTTAGGCAATGCTGCCATAATTGCTGTAGCAAAAGGGACGTGGGAAATCTATGAATACAGATATACACATCTCAGGATTCTGATTAAGTTACAGGTGACATGAACGTCATTTTGCGGCAAACACTAGATAAATAGGGCTTCTGATTTCGGTTTTAACTGATAAAAACCAATAAGACATCCCTGACATAAATAACCCTCTGAAATCAGTGTTCATCCAGGAAACACTAGAACAACACTGGAACTGGTTACTTGTATCTAGGGGCTTGTCTACATGGAGCAGTAATGCATACTATGGGGGTGTGATTTCTAAAGCACAGTCACAAGTTGTGCATTAATTCATCTGTGTAGTCCCTGCTGCTGCATGCTAAAGCATATATGACTGTAATGAGTAAGGTATATATTGCAGTATATACAAAGAGAAGGTCCCCAACCCTCCACCTCACCCGATTTTTGGATATCTATGTAAAACTCAAAAATTGCTAAAAATAAACCCTGAAAAACAGAAGCCCTGTCTATAATCTATATAATAAGATTCCAAGAATGTTATTCTGAGGTGTGACTGTATGAAGTCTAGATTATCTGTTGAGTCAGTGTGAAGTGATGGAAATAGCCAGAAGCATGATTGAAAGCTCTTTTTGTTCAGAACATCTCCAGGTTCTATCACCACTGGGATTTGAAATCTGTTACCATCCCATTTTTTAAATTCTCAGCCATTTTGACTTGAGGAATTATATCCATGCGGCAGCAAGGCATGTATCTATCCCATGGTGACAGTCCTAGACATTGGTTGAGCTACCTCTGATATCACAATCACCAGTCTAATTCTAAAGCTAATTTATACGCAACAATTTCATTGCTTGTATGGAGTGCACTGATGGAGGATTACTTGGCCCAACTACCACGTCTGTGTGATGGCACGGATGTTTAGTTATTAATATTATGTATAATAGACTTTCCTATGGTGATCATCAACTTACTATCAGACCACCTCAAAAAGAATAATGAATCTAGACTCAACTCCATTTTACAGATGGGGAATCTAAAGCAACATGATGTGAGATGACTTACCAAAATCTCCTGATAACCAGTCCTGTGTCTCAACCACAATATCATCCTTCCTCTCAAGGCCTGATTGACAACCCTTTTGCATTTACCTCAATGGGCTTTGAATCAGGCCCTAAACTCCTTTATTTTGTTTATTCTTTTAGCTCACTGTTCCTCAAGGAACACTATTATTTTAATCAAAATTATTGCAGACTTGGATTTTAAAATATGTATTCCGAGTCTGTCTCCCACTAATACGCCACATTGTAAAAGTAAGAGGAATATTAGAGAACAAAAATCTATTTTATACACACCGTATTATTGCAAAACCAGGTGATATCGCCTTCATTGCCAGTGTAGAAGAGAATCGATCCATTGTCTTTTCTCCAATGCTGATCTGCTACTAGGTACCGCTGTTGGAATGTAAGATCTTGATCAAATCCAAAATGATCAATCTGTGGGAATGAACAGAAAACAAACAAACAATCAAATAGCTTCAGAAAGGTCTAATAGGATCAAGGAGTAAAAGTGTTGACATTCAAGATGAGATTCACCAAGACTGAAAAACTTAAACCCAAGAATCTTTGGCTCTAATACACTGAAATTGATTTAAAGTTTTTCCTCTCCAAGAGACAGTTAGCCAGGGTTGGATGAAGGCTGTACCCTCAAGGCGGAAGTGAAATTTAATCTCAGTTACAAAAGATATATGCAGTTTAATAGCATCCTATTTAAAGGCGATGCTCTCCAAGAGTTCAGGCCTCCCATACTATTGATATTGCAGTAGCATCTAGAAGACCTGCATCAGGGATTAGAACCCCATTTGCTAGATGCTCTCCAAACATAGTAAAAATAAAGTCTTTGTCCCATATTGCTTACAGTCTTGTGTCATGTTCTGGGGTGCAATCCAAACCAGTGAGTGGTTGCGTCACAGCCTGCCGTCACTCTAGGTGCCTTAAATGCTCTGCTGCTGTGGCTCACAGCCTGGACAGCAACACCCAGCAGACAAGCACGCACTGAGCATCTGTGTATTAAGCAACTCTGGCTCAGCACTCTGATTCCAGCCATCTGCTTGTTACACCCCAGCCACACTCTGGTATCTATTAGCCTAGTGGCTAATTAGATGGTTATTATTAGTCTAGTGACTCAGACACTCCCAGTCCCAAGATTTCCCAAAACCACGTGCTCTGTAATGTCCAGCCCTCTCCTGGATAATAAGGTTCATTCGTTCCTCTAAAGAGAGGAAATTCACAGCGTATCCCTTTAATTCAAACAGAGCACTGGGTTGGTTTAGATTAAAAGTAAAACAAGTTTATTAACAAAAGGAGGTAGGATTTTAAGTGAGTTCAAGTATAAAGAATACAGTTAGAAATAGTTACAAGCAAATAAAGATGAAAAATGCTTTCTAGAGACTAACAAAACTACAGTCTTGATTCAAAGTAAGATTCTTACCGCACGCCCAAAGAGCAAGATGGCTGACTCCCCCACCCAGTCAAGATCTCTCCCCGAAGATAGTGAAACTTTGAAATGGATTCTTCTGAAGGTTACTCCCCAAAATAGAGTTCATTCAAGCCGTGAGGAAGGAGACATGGGGTCTGGTGATAAAGGAAGTTCCATGCTAGTTTCTTTCCTGATGATATTTGCTAAAATGTATATCAATCTGTTCCTGCCCTCTCCGATGCAAATGAATGGCCTCCTGATGTGATGATAATTGAGTGATGACACCTGGCTGGAGATGCTGGCTTGTCCTTTGTCTAGGAGAAACCAGTTTATACAGTCCCCAGACTTGTCTGGTAAACATATTTTAGTTCTGAATTTCCTTCATTATTTGTATGGTCCCTTGGGCATTTACTGTACCTACCTCAGGAAAGACTATTAATGATCAGCACGTTATTCGTTTTTCAATGATACCTTACGTGACACCTATCAGATACAATTTATGACATTAATAAATTGGGGTACACTGGTCAGGCCAGCAGAAACTCACTTCCAGATACCAGTAAACCCCTTGCCCTCTTGCACTGGGATGCTGTTAGGGTCACATCTCGGTAATGGCAAGACAGAAGAGCTGTATGAAATAAACAAATGGGCAAGGTGGAAGGCAGAAGAGTGAGGGGGTAAATGGCAGCGCTGGTCAAAAGTTTTCTGACAGGTTTTTTTGGAGAGGTGTGGCGGGGAAAAATACAAAGTAGTTTTTTCAACTAAATGGAAAATTTTCAAGGAATTATGTTTCCTAGAACATATTTGATGGAATACTGAAAACCCAAAACTGAAGTTTTCCTAGCTAAAATATTTTTGGTTTTCAACAGTTTACAGCTGAAAAATGGTAACGTTTTCATTTCTGATTAAGAGTTTTCCACTGAATGTTTTCAATAAAACATTTTTCCTCCCTTTTTCATCAAAATTTTCCACGGGGTGAGCAGATGTTTTTCTACATAAAACAGCAGTAGTATTAGCTTTATAACTGGGGCCCAACCAAATTCACATCCATGAAAAATACATCTTGGACCGTGAAATCTGGTCTCCCCGTGAAATCTGGTCTTGTGTGTGCTTTTACCCTATACTATACAGATTTCACAGAGGAGACCAGCGTTTCTCAAATTGGGGATCCTGACCCAAAAGAGAGTTGCAGGGAGTTGCAAGGTTATTTGGGGGGGGGGGGGTGTCACAGTATTACAACCCTTACTTCTGCGCTGCCTTCAGAGCTGGGCGGCTGGAGAGGGGCGGCTGCTGACTGGGTGCCCAGCTCTGCAGGCAGCAGTGCAGAAGTAAGGGTGGCAATACCATACCATGCCAGGCTCACTTCTGCGCTGCTGCTGGCAGCGGCTCTGCCTTCAGAGCTGGGCACCTGCCAGTAGCCACCGCTCTCCAGCTGCCCAGCTCTGAAGGCAGCGCCGTCAGCAGCAGTGCAGAATTCAGGGTAACAGTATTGCAACACCCCCCCCCCACCACACACACACACACACAATAACCTTGTGACACCACCCCACACACACACACACACAACTCCTTTTTGGGTCAGGATCTCTACAATTACAACACCATGAAATTTCAGATTTAAATTTTTAAAAACCTATGACCATGAAATTGACCAAAATGGACCCTGAATTTGGTAGAGCCCTATTTATAATGTTGAAAATTTACCCTGGATTACAGAGGTGAAATTTTCAGCCTTCATTTATGCTACTTTACACACACAAATGTTTATATATATCCTTCCCCCCACCCTTTGGAGAGCCTGTCTACACTGGGAAGCAGGGGTGACGCTCTGAAGGCAGCGCCACTGCCAGCAGCAGCGGAGAAGTAAGGGAGACATACTGAGCACAAGGAATGGGTCGGGGCCTGGAAATAACAAATGGGAGGGGAGGGAGCATGCAGGGAGAGAGACGGGGAGGAGCATGCATAAGGGAGGGGGGATCACAGAGGGAAGAAGCGGGGCTTGGCTAGGGGAGGGGGTCACAGAACAAGGAAGGGGAACGTGCATGGGGAGGGGGATCACCTGGGGGGGGAGGGAGCATGCACACAGGAGGGGCTCACAGAAGGGGAGGATCCATAGGGGAGTGAGACTTGAGGGGAGGAGAGGATGCAGAGGGGAGCAGGGATCACCGACAGGGGAGGAAGGCATAGTTAAGGGAATGGGGGCACAGACGAGGGGCGGAGACCCCCAAACAGAGGGAATGTGGGTGAAGGGATGAGTTCCAGATGGACAGGCACCCTGCAAAGAGGAGACGGGCACATGATGAAGCAGCACATGATTGGGAGCACAGGGGATGCTGCTGCTGCGAGCAGGGCAGGCAGGGGCCATCGGACATTGTGAGGGGTCCGGTCCCACCGCCATGTCTGTCCGAGGGCTGCCAGGAACTGAGCCAAGCTGTACATCAGGGCAGCGGGCAACGTGAGGTGTGCGGGGCTTACCTCGAGCCCCAGATCCGGAGCCCAGGGTGGCTCCGGGGTGAAGGCTGCGAGGGGCCAAAGCCCTTAAGCTCTCCCCAGGCCTAGCGTGGGGACGGGGGAGCCTCGGTGCTCCCATATATGCCCATAAGGTGTATAGCGCAGGCCCTCCCCCAATTTTTGGTCCAGCCCACCTCAACCCCCTCTCCCCCAGGCTGGCACCACCCTTGCTGGGAAGTTTACCGACATTCTTATTTTGGTATAAGAGTGTCCACATGGGGGCTTATCTCAAGATAACTATTCTGGAGTAGCTGTTTCAGTGAATTTCCAGTCATAGCCAAGTCCTAAAGCATCATCACTTTTGCTTTAGAAACCAGTGCTTGGTGCTTCCACCCTGGGAGTGAGGGTAGCCTGTAACTGGATCACTCTGAATTATTCTAGGAGAGAGCAGCATCTTTGCTTCATCTCTCTGTCAGTCTCCCTGCTGGACCAGTAGAACAAGGCCATTGGCAGTAGCTTACGGCGTGCTGCTGGTAGAAGCCTGACATCTGCTGGAACGAACATCTGTTCCTGCTGCCTTCTGTCGTTAACATACAGCCTCTACAGTCCCTCATGTGCCCAATAAAACCTGGGCTCTTTTAACATGGCCTTTGTTCTGAAAACATTTGCAAGCGGATTTAGTGCTCACGGAAGCGAGGCATCTGAGCACTAGATCAAGCCATGTGTAGCATGAGCAGCTGCTGTGCAAACTTCCCCATGCAGCTCAAATGATGAGCCTAATTCCGGACTACCAGAACCCAGATATTCCAGTCAAGAAAGCAAACTGCATGGCCTTGTGCGCAAGCTGTTTAAAAGGTTGGTACTTATGAAGAGGGAATGGGATAAGACCCCAGACTTTGCTTGGGCCCAAGATCAGGATTTGAACTTAAAAAAAAAAAGATTTTAAAATGGTTTATTTTCAAAACCTAACAAGTTTACAAAAAGTCTTTTGCCACACTCACTTTTGGGGGTGCTGTTATTAGAGATGGGCCTTAGCAGCACTGAACATAGAGGAAGTTTAGAGCCAATGTGCCTCAGGCCCATTCTGCTATTCATATAATGCCATATGTGTGCATTTTACCTTACAGACATGGAAAACGGAGACAAGGTCCTTGCCTGAGAGTTTATGAACTAGATTTAGGGTTTTGACTGGTCCAAAAATAACTGGCCAATTGACTGGTTAACCATTGGTCAAATGAAATCAGAAGTGGTCAAGTATTCGAACCTTTTGCTTCCCTTGATGTATATATTTTTCCCTGCACCCTTTGTGAATAGTTTTAGTTCTGGTATTTAATCTCAATTTGTTTGTTTGGAAGACAAGCAGCTGCCAAAACCATAGTTTCAGTTTGGGGTCATTATCTCATACGATTAGTTTTGGTGTCTAACAAAGAAGATCAGACATAACTTTAGGATAAGTCTGAGCCATTCAGCGTTCATGAATGTAAATATCAGAAAGCTACACCAAGGAAGCTTATCTTTAAGCTTCTTGAGAAGGTAAGTGTGAATGTCAGATGGTTTAGCAAACTGG